TTGGCCTGTCCCTACAGGCCCTTGTCCCAAAGCCTCTCTCCAGCTTTCCTGCAGCCCCTTTAGGCACTGGAGCTGCTCCTTCTCTTCTAGTCCAGTGCCTTGACCATTATACGCATGTGCCTGCACCTCTGTGCACGCACACAAGACAAACCTTCAGCACCAAAGAGTTGTTGCTGGCTCCTCATAGAGCTTTCTTCTGCATGGCTTCCTTCTGTGTGTAACTTAAGTGTATTTGAATTCAGATACAGATCCTGGTTGACGTATAACTTGTGTGTGATGGAACTGGGTCCAGGAGAAATAAAAGTCAGCATGTGTGCTGGTGAAAATTGGAGCTCGAGAGAGCCAAGGGGATGATGCTAGAGGTTACCAGTGGTTCCAGGACTTGCTGCAGGACCACTTTCACTGTCTGGGACACTGTGTTTAGGCCCCCCCTCATGTCTCTGTTCCCTTCACCTGAGGATTCCCAGGGAGTGTTAAATATGTGACAAGCTTTGCAGAGTGGTGGGAAGGGAATAGGAGACCCAGTCCCTTCTCTGGTCGCTGCATCCTTTGATTTCTTAAACAGATGAGGTGTTGAATGAACCGAAGGCCAATATTTGTGTCCTCCACTCCACTGTTGTGTCCTGTGCATCCCCAGAGCATGCACTGAATAAACCCTGTTGGTGAAAGGCTGTGAAGTGTCTCGCTGGGGGATCTGGAGGCTGGGGACCTGCTTATTCTATCACTGAAACACTCTCAATGGTGAGCTTGGCAGAATCACTCCTGGGGTGCTGCAGGGGTTTGGGTTTGGCGTTGTGAAAGCACCCAGGAGCCAGTTTTTGCAAGGGTGAAACTTGAAGTTTTGAAGCCTGTGTAAAAGCAGCAGGAGGAGGAGGCTGGGGATGCTGTAGGGAATGTTTCCCAAGCACCCAGCTGAGGGCAAAGCAAAAACTGCCCCGCAGGAACCTGGGGGCAAGGAAAGCAAAAGGAAGAGAGCTCAGAGTTAAAAAATGGAAATCCAAGCTGGGGTTCTGTTTTCCCAGCCTCTCCCAGCCCCGAGCACAGTTTTTCATCTTTGCAGCAAGGACAGAAGTTAAATGCAAGTGTGTGGCCCCAGTTTCCCTGTTCCTGCAGCGCTTTCACTGCAGAACATCCCCCAGCTGCGAGCAGCGCCCGGGGAAAGGGCCTGTAAGACTTCAGCTCGCCGCCCTGGAGCGATGCTGGCACCAGGCCTTTGCTTTTGGCTTTTCCCCATCCTTTCCCCCCGGCTTTCCCTGGCCAGGCTGCCCCGCAGCTCCTCATTTCCCTTCTCCATGCAGCCGTGCAGCAGGAGCCCAGCAGCACCAGCTTCCTTGCAGGAAACCAGCTGCCTCCGGGGTTTCTTCGGGTCACGCTCGGTGCCAGCCCTGCGGAATGGGGACCGGCAGATGGCAGTGGGAGGGACACCGCTGAGAACTGGGCAGCTCGAACTCGCCACGCAGAACCCTTCGGTGCTTCACTGAATCCCAAGCATCAGATGAAGTTAAGAAGCAGATGAGAAAGAGCCTCCCACCCAGGTAGTGGGGCTGCTCTCGGCGCAGGCTGAGCTCCTGCTGTTGAGCTGCTTTCTGGGATAAAGAACCAGCCTTGGGTTAAGGATGGATGAGAGAAATAGAGCCCGAGCAGCTGGTGTTTGCCTGATGTGAGGGGTGAGGGTTCAGGCAGGGATGGAGCGCTGCAGGACCACAGCTGGTGAAGGAGAGCATAGCACCAACTCCCTGTGAGCAACAGAAAGAGCAGAAAAGCATTTCCCCTCCCAGCAAAGCCTGGGCATTTGGTCAACACCTGATCTTTTGCCAGTGCTGGATCCCCCTCCCTGCTGAGAGCCATCGTGGGGCTGGGAGCAGCAGCGCTGCTGCGTCAGCACAACTCCGTCGACAGGATGCCAGGATTTCAACGTTGCACCACGATTCCGGGGCTATGAGCTTTGTGAAAGCTGTTACCGTTTGGTTTCCATGAGGTTCCGATTTCTGGAGGCACGCGCTCGTGCAAGGACCTATTTATAGAGTTCCTTGTAACAGAAAATTCAGCCCCAGAAAGGAAATTCCCCTTTCCTCTTCCCCCTGCACACCCCAGCGGGGCTGAGCCCTGCCAGCACAGGCATTTGGGGTGCTTTGGTTTAACCCTAAATTAAGGGGGGGTAGGGAAGGACGGAAGATGACTGTGTGGCTAGGGCAGGGTATGGTGTGATGCACAGGGGGGGACACAAAACATGCAAGGGAGACTCCTGTAGCATTCCCATTCCATTTTCTGGGGTTGGCATGAAGGATGTTCTGGTATTGGGATGACCAAATAGAAAACTCCTCGGAGAAGGAGCCAATACCATAGCAAAGATGCTGCCAGATTCTGGCAGCCCCATGGCCACGTATGATGGGAGGAAGAGAGGGTGTTAACCATCAGCTGTGGCCATTTGGGTTAACAGCAGGGGATTTATGGTGTTTATAAGGCCTGGCTGCTGCATCAACCCCACCTACTTGGTTCTCCCGACCCCAGGGCCCTGTTTCCCAGCAGGGAGAGGGATACGCCTGGTGCTGGTTGAACGAGAGGAGGTTGCTTGACTTTGGATGCTGATGTTTCCCCTGAATATGGTGACTTGGAAGGGCTGGGGAAGCACATGCCCCATCCTGAGGGGTTTCAGCTGGGGCTGTGATGCTGGCTGCCAAATTCCCTTGGAGTGTTTGGGTTGAAAACCCTCTTGTACCTTCTTTTTGCTAGAAGGCACATACCCCAGCTTGCCATTGTGGCTAGAGATGGCATTGCTGCCCCACCGAGCTGTGCTGTGGGACCCTGGCCAGTGAGTCTGGCTATCCCATATATCCACAGTTATAAGCCTGCTGAGCCTCCTCCTGGGCAGAGGCTGCCCTTTCCCATACAGTGGGAAGCTTTAGAGACACTAAATATTGCCTTGGCTGATTTCTGAGCTCTAGCTGTGGCTTAGAGGGGACAAGATGATGGATTGGTGGAACCTGAAGTTCCCATGTTCTCCTGTTGCTGGTATCTCTCATGAGCATGCTTACAGCAAGGACTACCTAAGGCAGAGAGAAGCCCAGCCTGCAGCCCTTGAGCTGACTGGGGATGAGGAAGATTAGGCCTTCGCAACAGGATTTGGGTTGGCCCAGGAAAGCACCTACTGACAGCCAAAAATGAATGGTCTTAGCTGCTTGACCAACTCAATCTGCTCCACATCCTTATCGTGTCCCAGCTGTGGCTTCCCTTTCATGCTCAGGGTCTTGGTCAAACAGAGAATCTAGTCAGTGACACAGTCAGGAACCCTGGCCACCACTCTAGAGGTCCCAGTTCACCAACCAAGCTCCCTTCAAGGCAGTCAAAAGATGCTGTTTTAAAGAAGTCAAACCAAGTTCATTTGCAGAAGAGAATCTCTCCAGTAATATTTTATTCATGGCTTCCAGATCGCGCAGCTACATCACTCGAGATTCCCTGCCTGAGCATCAATGCAATGGAGGGGACTGAACTGATTTCACCTGGGACACACAGGATTGGTTCTTATAGAATCATAGCATGTTTTGGGTTGGAAGGGACCTTAAAACTCATGCAGTTCCAACCCCTGCCACGGGCAGGGACACCTTCCATAGAGCAGCTTGCTCCAAGCCCCTGTGTCCAACCTGGCCTTGAACACTGCCAGAGATGGGGCAGCCACAGCTTCTCTGGGCACCCTGTGCCAGCGCCTCAGCACCCTCACAGGGAAGAGCTTCTTTATATCCAACCTGAAGTTCCCCGGTTTGAGTTTAAACGCATTCCCCCTCGTTAAACACGAAGTGGATATGCTCTGTTCCCATGCTTCTGGTGCTATTTTGGTCCCTTCCAAGCGATTTGTGGGTAGGAGCCCTGCCCCTTTCGCAAGCAGCTAGAGGATAATAATGCATCTGAGAGGACCAGGCTGTAGTTTTGCACAGCACGTCGCCAGGACTGTTGAAGAGCCAGATTTATGGAGCGAGGGCTGCATTCCTTCACCACTAGACACTGCGGCATCCCCACCCACCAGCTGCTGCCCAGCCTGAGCAAGTCCCATCCCAGCCTCACCACAGCTACACCCTATCCCAGGAAGCAGAGGAGGCTTAACCAAGCTGCTTCATTTCTGGGGAGCCCCACGGCCCAAGCAGTCAGGTCTGGGTCTCCCTGTGCGTTTGCTCAGGGTGAAATTGGAGGGCTCCAGTTTCTTTTTGCAGGTCTCTTCCTCCCACATCATCTGAGAAGGTGGCCTCTGCTTGCCCTCGCTCCCCGATGTCTCGGATCTCTCCCGTCTCCATGGCAGTGAGATGGCAGTGATAATGGCCTGAGGTGGCCTTCAGTCTTGAGGAACTGATGCAGCCCTGATCGTGTTACAGCTCGATCCTACTTGCTCTTGCATCTAGCAGAGGGTTAGTCCCATCTGCTCCTAAGAAAGAGAAGAAATAACAATTCCCTGCCCCTGGTCAAGTGCCAGAGCTCTGGAGCAGGCTGTCTGCTCATGTCTGTTGGCATATGACAGTACTACCTGCCTGGGAGAACCCAAAAGGACTAGGACTTGCTCCCTTTGGCTTACATCTCTTCCTTACCTGTCTCCCCTCTAGGACAGGCTGTTAGTCTGAACCAGTGGCTTATCCTATGTAAGTACACATCTCCTCGCCAGGGTCTGTGTATTAGTGTTAGGTTGATATGGATTATCAAACCAGAAACAACCACCCTCTAACTCTATACCATGGCAAAGATGGGAACTTGTCCAAACCAGAATGCGCTTCCTGAGTGGGACCAACCAGCCAAATTGGATCAGCTCTCAAGGCTTTGAGTCTACAGGATAAGCACCCTCTTGGATCTAGTTTTTAACCCAGGCTTCAAATTGGGTGCTCAGATATATCCTCTTTGTACCAAAGCACCCACTGCCCTTCACACTTGAGGATAGACCAGAAAAGAACAGCACATTTAAACCATTTACAGCTTGAGCCCATCTCCTGCAAAAAAGAACAGTACTGAACACCAGAAGCTGATGCACCAGCTCAATTCATTGTTTCTCTTGCACCCATGAAACAGATTGATTTTATGCAGGAGGGTGGCTCCATACGCATAGCTGAGGCATGGAGCAGTCCCTGGAAGAACACAGTCCTGGGTGCTGTAAGAGAAGAGCCACCGAGCTGTTCGACAATGCTGTGCTGTGTTTTGGGACCCTCAACAGAGAGAAGTGATGCCTCAGGACCAACGTGGCTGAGCCAGTCCTCCAGAGGTTTTGCTGCTCTTTAAGGAAGGCAATAGACTGTATAGTTATCACCTGAAATGGGATAAAATCCCTCCCACCAAACTATACAACCTACTACCTCACCTCCACAGAGCAGTACAGAGGTCTTGGCTGACGCACGCCGTATCACTGGCTTTGCATTACTCGCACCACCTGCCTCCACGCCTGGTGTAGAAGATGAGAACTGAAGACCTGACTGTCTCCTTAGGAAAGACAGTAGATTGTATAGTTAGCTCAAAGGGAGGACCGGACTCCACAACTATTCAATCTACTACCTCAGCCTCAAGGACAGCTTGGGACCATGGCACTCTAAGGCAGTGAGATGATCCTGATTCAGGTGTTGGCTACTCCGAAGCTCCTGTGAAGAGAAACGTGAAAATCCATCAGACTTCGTGATGTTAGGGAAAGGAGTCTCATACCCAGCTTGTCCTGGAGCTCCCTTTCCTTCTTTAAACCTCCTTCAGTCCACTTGGGCTATCCTTTATCCTTGGCAATAACAAACCTTATGCACCCAAGGGCTTACGGAAGCGGCAGCCCTCCCCTTGGAACCCAGGGCCATACCTGCAGATAGCAGAGCTCTCCTGGAACTGCAGTCATGCCAAGTAACATACAGCCAGGCTGACCTCACCTCTTGAACACACACCGTATCTAGAACAAACCTGCCAGCCCAGATAAGAGAATCCATCCATTTAGCTGCTATGCACTCCAGGGAATTGAGCAGATTAGAAATAACTGACTACAAGGAAGCTTTTAGGCTGCAGATGTAATGGTATCGAGCACATCAAGGCAGATCTCATTTCCTAAACAAATGAGTGCAACATGCAGGCTTGGTGTCCCTTTAATGCTATAGCACAGCCAGGCAGTATTATCATGGATCTGAGACAGACTGGCTAACCCCCGAGCCCTTGGCTCACCTTCTGAGACTTTCTCATTCTCTGTACGCCCAAACACAGAAGCAAGGTACTAAGCTGGTAGTTTAAAAAGGTTCTTTTGCCATGAGAAATCATTCCCTTGGAGATGAAAGAAAGCCATAATGAAAAGGGAGCCACACGCAGCACATCAAGCGGGCTGTGTGTGCAGCACAATGGAGCCCCAAAGGAGGACTTTCCCCAGGTCTCAGCAGGAGGTGGCCCCAGGCTCTGCTGAGTGCTGTGCTGGGACAGGCAGGCGCTAAGGCAGCAGTCCCCAAGGAGACAGAGGCTGCCTGGTGCTTTGTGCTTCCCCAGCTAACAGCAACAGCCTGAGTAAGTGACATTCCCTGAGGTTTGGTGAGCTGTGGCAGCTGAGATCCTCGAGGTGACAGTTCTGGATGGCAGGGGTAGGAGGATATCTGTGCAGCGAGGTTTGGAAAGTGCCCCTGTTCCTTTGCAGGGCTCTCTGAAGTCCTTCTCACTGCTGTTCAACACGGTCCAGGTAATTCTCTTAATTTCCTTTGACAAACCCAGCCTTCACAAGGGGTAACCTACTGTGCCAGGCCATCTGGCCCAGGCCTCTCCTGGTGTGACAGGGTACAAACAGCTTCAGAAAATCAATGTTGCGGGACTGATTCCTACAGCATTTCAGTACCCAGCCCATCCACAGCGCCAAGTACCTTGCATCCCAAACAGCCTTCTGATGGGAAGTATTACTCTTCCTATTTTACTGGCATAAAAAATGATGCACAGAGGCTGTACGTCCCTCTGTAGCACGTACAACACCAAGGTTAGTCAGCCTAAAGGTCCATCCAGTGTGTCACAGACCACTCTGCCTCATCAGGGACAGAAGAATGAGTTTAGCCTGAAGCGTTTCAGCTTTCCAAGAATTAAGCCAGTGTCACAGGCATGAACCAGAAGGGACCATGGTGGCAAGAAAGCCTGTGATCGCTGCCATGGCAGAGGCCTGGGGATGTGGATGGTCTGGGTGATCACACTGGGTGATGCAGAAAATCATCATCTCCAAAGACACTTGTGGCACCTGACCTGGGGGAACAATTCTTCCTGATTGCCAGTCCAGTGGCTTATATTGTTTTAAACATATAAGCAAGATGTATAGGCCAGGTATAGGCCAGGCCTTTAAAAGGTCACTCTTGCTACCATTGCAGAGAAGAGGTGTTTGGGCCAACCTCAAACCGTGGGTGGGAAATTGCATTAAATAACTCCTAGTTCCCATAGATCCAATTATACATGGAGAGGTGAAAAAAAAATCCCTTCTGACTTCTATCAGTAATCCTGAAAACAGGAGGTTTAATTAGAATAATTGTCTTAATGAGTATAGGTTTGGGGAATACCCAGCTGCTGACTTTGCAATCCTGATCCTGCCAGGATCTGTGAAGAAAGGAGTCAAACAGGAGGATTTAGGAATACTACACCTGGTAAGGATCCCTGTGACCATCCTAGCCTTACCTTTGCTGTCATAGAATAGTTATGGGTTGGAAAGGACCTCAAGATCATCCAGTTCCAACCCCCCTGCCATGGGCAGGGACACCTCACATGTCAGCATGCCATGCAAGGCTTCGTCCAACCTGGCCTTGAACACCACCAGGGATGGAGCATTCACAACTTCCCTGGGCAACCCATTCCAGTGCCTCACCACCCTAACAGGAAAGAATTTCCTCCTTAGATCCAATCTGTTTCAGTTTGAACCCGTTACCCCTTGTCCTGTCACTACAGTCCCTAATGAAGAGTCCCTCCCCAGCATCCCTATAGCATCCCTGTCACTCTTGTTCGTGCTAGGTGCTGTACCAATTGCAGTGACAGCAAGTCCCTCTCCTGATGGTTTGAGGTCTAAACCATCAAGACACAGGATGGGGAAAGAAAGAGAAGCGGAGAGGTGACCCAACCTATCTAAGATCATAAAGAAAGTCCATGGTAAAGCTGACGCTGGCTCCAGCCTTGGGAAGCCCTGCTCCAGTCTCTGGTCATAATGCCAGGGCAATGGTTTGCCCGGGCCAGCCTTGACCATGTTAGGACAGGCTGATGTCCATGTCCCCCAGCTGTCTTTGATGGAGAGGTTAAAGATGATGTTCTGTTTCAATATCTGCAGGACAACCACAGATCCTGGGAGAGACATCCTCACACACATTCTGGATAACAGCTCAATGATAAAACCCTGCTGGGGTTTCACAGAGACGCATTATGAATTAGTCATATACCCGTGCAACCATCAGATTTGTGCAAACTCCGTCTCTACAGAGATTCCCTGCACAAATCCCATGGCAATCACCAAGGAGAGCTGCATTCCAGCTCTGCCCTGCTTTCCAGACACAAAGCCTTCCCTTCTAGCCTATCTCTGCTGAAGCATTGGATTTACAAGCACCTGAATGTGATGCAGCTGAGGAAAATGCTGGGTAGAACAGCCAAGAGGGGCTGTAGGAGGCAGAAGCCTACACCCCAAAGCTTCTCACTGCCTTCCAAGTTATTTAAGCTCAGGTTTTGAAGATCTTTGGATACCTGACTGCTAAGAACTGGATGTGTTTGAAATCCACTGTTTTCTGGGTAGACCCTAAGGCCGTGGCACTGCCCTTTGCCCCTTCCAGATTCACACGAGTCCTTCAAACTTCACCAAATGGGATTTTTGTGAGAAAAACTGAAGTCTGCGAGGAACCTGAGGGTGGTCCCTGTGCTCAGTGTGCCACAGCACAGTCCTAGTGCACAGAGCCTCTTAGAGCGGTGAGGCACATTGGCAGGTAAAGGATGAGTATGTTTCTTCACAGCAAGATCCTCCAGGCTGGCAGAAAAGTCATTTCCAATGAGGTTTCAGACCCATTTTGGGGAGGAAAAGGTGATGTACAGCTGTCCTTCAGTGATCAGGGGGGCTCGGGACGACAGCCCATGGACCCAAGTGATGTCCCCCAGAGTTCAAAGCATCTCCAGACCAAGGATGCCCGAGCACGGCCAAGTCTCTGCCTTTAGAACAGGGCTGCCTCGGAGAGGAGTTGGAAAGGCTCCGGAGCTTGGAGGAGCTGATCTGGTTTATTAAGGAGCACTGAATGAAGTGGAGGAGGAGGGGGAGGAGGCAACCATGAAACAGCAGTAGCTCCTTTAAAAAGCAGACACTGCTTTCAGCCTTTGTATAGCCACGGCCCCGCGTGTCGGTGCCAAAACGTGCTGGGGACAGGCAGGGCTTCCCAGCAGGAAACCCTGAGCCGCCGAGAGGTTTTCCAGCCTCATGGAGCATGGGAGGACTGGGGCAGAACCAGCCCGGCCAAGGCGAAGCCTGCGTGGGCACAAAATGGCTGCCTGTCGGCCATTTTGTTTCCTCAGCTTAGCCTGTAGGGAGGCCAGCGGTGACTTCCCGTCCTCCCCTCGCCGCGTCGCCGGAGTGGGTAAATTCAAAGCAAACAGCCAAAAAAAACCCACCCCAAACGGAACAAACCCCAAATAAGTGAAATCAAAAAGGAGCGGGGAAGGTTTCCAACAGCTTCCCCAGCGCCGCCGCGGTGTGCGGCTGCACAGAGCAGCGCTCAGAGCCGTGCGGCTGCCGGCCGGCAGCCAGAAACCCGCTCACAGAAAACACAGCAAACAGTCCCAAAACCCCATCCTGAGCACACCCTGTGCCGCGGGAAAGGCACCAAATGACATCTGCCAGCCTGGCCACGGGGACAAACCGCTTCGAACTCCTCACAGGCCGGCCAAGTGTCCTTCAAGACCCCGCATCCTGGGGTCGACATGGAAATATCACGATTCAAAAGAGTTATCCATAGGGAAAGGGAAAGAGAAGTCAAAATGGTTAAAGTTCATTCCTGCAATAGCCTCGGCAATGCTTTTCCTCCGTGCTCTTTTCATGACGTAGGTAGTATTCCGTATCAACGTTGTCATAGCATTTAAGCATTTACTATAATACAATTAGCAAGTATCTTACTAAGTAGCCACTCATCTGTTCGGGGTTGTCTCGAGTCCTGTCAGATGTTTATAAACATCTGGATCGTCATTAGCAAATCTGGTATTATCATGCATAATACAGGCATTGGTAACCTGCTTGTTATGTGCCTTATCTTTTATTAACCCTTCCTAAATCCATTACAAAGGTGGCCCCAAAGGTAGCATTTGTTTTTCTAAATGTTCATGTATGTTCCTTGTAAATTAACACAGAATTTACACTCCTGAAGGAAAAAAATTCCAAGGATTTTTGCCGTAAAGCGGGTGTTACGGCTATTTCATAGTGCGATCTTTCTGAAATACTAAAAAATATCCAAAAATACCAAAAATCAAGAGATGTGAGAGAAAAAAATTATCTTCCTGATTTATTTGTACCTGCTCCATCCTCAATTCTGTACGTTACAAACCGAAAGAAAGAAGATCCTTGCCTGTAACCCTCTATAAAGCTCTTCCATGAATACTGTTTCCTGCGCGATGCTCAGCTCCGAAGTTGCCCACAAAAGGTGCAGTTAACGTCCACCCCTGCCGCAGCTTTGGACCCCAACCCTTGGATTTGCCATGCAAACCGCCCGCCCAGCGCCCACACATGCAGCCCTGGCTCCGGGGCCACCGTCGCCCATGCAATCCTGCACATTGTCAAGCTAAAGCAGACACGGAGGCAAATACCTTTCTGTGCGAGAAAAGCGATTTCACCTCTTTCTGCTCCCAGCTCCTCTCTGCAAGCGTCCGCTCCTCTCCCGATGGCTGGGCAGCCCCTCAGGGGAAGGCAGGACGATGGCTCCAACAGCGATGCCTGAGCAGAGCCCGATCCCACCCATGCCACTTGACTGAGATCCGAACGGCTGCGAGCGAAGAGACGTGGCCACTACCTCCAAGACATCCAGGCTACGGCAGGAAACGCAGATTCACTTGAAAGAACCAAAAAACAAATCACTTTTATTTGGCACATTCTGTGGTATTTTTGCCATGCTTCTGCGCAAAATTGTATGGTAACAGCACCAAGTTCCCTTAAACTTTTCGAGGCATGTTACTGTTGATGGCGTCTCTGTCGTGTATCACACCTTAACGTGTGCAGGATACACAGGCTGGTGCAGTAAGCAGCTTGTGAACACAGTTCAGCTCCATCCCCGTGAGAAAAGCGAGGGCTTAAAAAAAAAAAAAAAAAAAAAAGCCAGGAACAGCTCTTTCTTTTAACATTTAAATTAAGATTTTGTATTCCTGAGAGGAAAACTTTCGAGGCAAGAAGGCAGTAAACAAAAGAGAAATGCCTACAGAAAACCAAGCCGATCCTCCGGATCACATCAGTTAAATCCAGGTCGGGTATCAGAGTCACCAACAGCAAGAGGACACACAACAGGTTAAAACGTTACCGTCCGGCACTGACCAGCTCTAATCATACCAAGCCGATGTGTAAAGCCATCCGCCCGTCCAAAAGCAAATGAGACAACAGTGCTCTCTGGTACTTTATAAACACAGAAGAAAGGAGGGCTGTTTTATTTAGTATAGCGAACAAACCTTTCCGTCCGGCTATACCGTGCAGCCCTGCGACGCTGCAGGCACCGGGTAGCCGTTACGCTGCTAGTACAAAAGCTCAGTTTGGCAATTCCAGGCATTTTCAGTGCTCAACATACGCCAAAACTACCCACTCTCTGCCTCTGACTTTGGTCTCGTTCCAAAAGGTCCTTTTTTTTCTCTCTCTCGCTCTTTTTTTTCCCCTCTCTCACTACAGCCGGTGCCACGTAGAGACGGGAGAGTTGGGCTCCAAAAAAGAGCCAAGTCTCAGCGTCCTGGCTTCCCCCTTTCCAGACGGAAAACAAAATGGCCATGCAGCAGCCATTTTGTTTGCTGCGGGATGGGAGGGAGAAGGGAAGGGAGGGGAGGCGCAGGCCAGGCGGGAGCGCGTGGGAAGGACGAGGGGGGGAGAAGGGAGGGAGAGGGGAGGGCGTCGATTCGGCAGGAACCCAAAAGCCCGGCAGCGATGCCCGGGCGCGTCCTCCCTTCCTCCCGCCGCCCGGCCCCGCAAGCACCCATGCGGAGGGATGGACACGGGGCCGCGTTCGCCGGCTCTCCCAGGCCGGCCGAGCTCGAGTTGTGCGGGCTGATGGGGGTACGGCTCCTTGCCCAGGCCTGGCTGGCACCTCCCTGCTGCCCGCTGGTGCTGCTGGGTGCCTGCAGAGCAGGGCTGGGGCTCTGCGAGAGCTCCCAATGGGAGCCAGGCAGGAGAGCGGAAACCAACCGGGAACGTCAAACTCCTGAACTTCCCCGGGCAGGAAACGGTGTAAATAACACCCGCGGGGAGGGGGAGAGGAACCCGGAGCAGGCGAGGAGGCCTTGGGGACAGCGGCTTGGCAGCAGCATGGCCTCGGCAACCTGGATCGCTCCGGCACCTGCGGTGAGGAGGGAGGGAGCAGTGATGGAGGTTGCCTCGCTGGCTCCCATCCGGACAAGCCTGTGTCAGAAACGGAGCCGCATGGCCGAGGCCTGTGCAGGGTCTGGGCTGCCCTGCGGCGATGCCTCTGCACTCCCAAGCGCACCAGGCAGCGGCAGGCTGTGCACCATGGAGGACGGGGCTCCAGGCTGCGCTCCCCTCCTGAGCTCCATGGCTTTCATCTTTCTGCCCTTCCACAAACCAACACCGCAATGACCCCTGCAGCCCACGGCTTGGGGGACCAGGGAAGCATCACTCATCCCTCTTCTCCCTAAAGCACAGGGCTGAGCTCCGGGCTAGCAGCCTTCCTGAGGAAGCCAACAAGCTGCACAGATGAATCCTACCCTCCGCTTTCAGGTGAAGTCCCTTCAAGTCCTGATCAAAACCAGTCTTATAGAGCAAGGCAAGCACCTTGGGACCTTGCGTGAGAGTAGCCAGCCCAGGAAGACCCTTAGGAGCACACAAATCAAACACATCCTGGGCTTTCTGCTTCTGTAGAAGAGACAAGCAATGTGAATCAGGACTATTCCCAGGATTTAGGATGGGTGAGAGCTCTCAGCCTCAAGCCCTATCCCCTAAGGATGTAGGGAACTGGAAATGCCAAACCTCGCATAGTTCTGAAGTTGTTACAGGAAAATCCTATGAGGAAGGTTGTTAATTGGACAAGGCACTTTGTGGCATATTCATGTGGGATAAATTTAAGCACTGGAGGTTGGACCTGCTAAGCTTTATCTGGTTAGATGTGAGGGCAGTTTCTCTGCAGAGTAATTCAGAGCAGAAACGTGATGCCAACAGCTTGAATTACCCTGTGAGGAAACCTAAAATCTGAAGCTGGTTTTAATAACCATTATTCCTCACCAACTTTCAGCAAAGTAACCTAAAATCTCCAGGTGAGAAACGTTATGGATTTATTGCTTGGCAATGTGCTGTGATGGATTAGTCTTCAAATGGCCCTGAAATCAAGCATCACCTCTAGCAAACTCTATCAATGCCCGTCCTAACTTCTCATAGGGGCTTGGTGGGGAGCCGTATGATCTTGGAGGTAGGTCTGTGCATTTCGTACTAACCTTGTAGTGTGGGAATTTGGGAGTTATTTGAAAGCTCCAAATCTGGTTTATTTTAATAGGATTTGGGAAGGCAAGGCTCACTTGAAAACTTTGCACTGAAAGGGTATTGCATTCTCTTGTGAAATACTCTTCCAGGAAAAACAGCAAGGCAGCTTTGCAGAATAAAGACCAAAGAGCTCTAGAGATGCCTGTAGCAATAGATCAAGCAATGGCCACATGCGGCGTGTTAGCTTGAAACTAGGAATAAGAAACGATTCCTGCTCTGAATATTCTCTTGTAGAAAAGCCCTGACAAACTGAGGAACGTTATTTTTATCCTTATTCTAAGTGAAAACCTGTTACAAACAAGGCAGGACAAGAGGCATTTTTAAGACAGGGTGTTTTGCCTTTCCCAATAACAGGGTCCCTAGATCTGCTAGGCAGCTCCTTGCTGGTGGGTCCTGAGATGCAGCAGCAGGGGTTAGGGACATACATGGGGCTGAAGATAATAACAGCACACCCAAAAATGCAGAGGGCCCCTCAGCACAAGCTGCTTGTTCAATGTATCTTAGTCAAATGGGGGTGTGCACGGGGTGAAAGATGGGAATAAGAATAAACAAGAGGGTGTGTGTGCTTAGGAGGCTTATTAGCATGGAGGAGAAGGTACCTGACCACATAAAGAAGGGGAAGGAGATTGTGAATGCATAGGTTTTGTGCACCAAGGTTCCTGAGAGAGCTGAGATGGTTTGTGCTGGGAGAGGGAGGTGTGAATATGAGCAAAATGCTGGAGCTCTACAAAGGACAAGGGAGGAGCTGCTGAGCAGGGGGGATATTTCTGTAGCCTCCATTCTGGGCTTAGTAAACCAGGGGTAGCTTAAGCTGTGGTCATGAAAGGGGTCCTTTCTACAGGGCAGGCTGCTTGGAATTGCTGCTTTCTGCTTTCAGGGGCTGCTGCTGTGGCCTCACCAGAGGTCTCATTCAAGGCACACTCCCAACTTGCTGTTCAAGCCTCCAGTATTGTGAAGGGCAAAACCCATCTGAAAGCCCTAAGCGGAGGACTGGTAAGGTACATGGGTCCATGCGCAAGCCCCAGAGACACATTTGTCTTCCTCGGAGACAAATCATTGAATGCAGGAGTTGGTTCTCATTCTTCTACGCACATATATTTGCTGCCAAGGGTTGCTATTTGATAGTGGGTAGAGCAAAGAACGCTGTCGCTGACTTCAGATCAGAGCTGGGTGAGGAGAACAAGACTCCCATTCCTGTTCATGACCAGGACTCTCAGAAAAGGGTCTGTGATGCTGTCATGAGTGTTGCAAACCAAAGAGCTCTATCCTTGTGCTTTAGCTCTGGTTTTTCCTACCACATTGTAAAGCTGTGGAAATCAGCTGCTCATCATCATGTGTTTGAGGTGGTGGACATCAGAGCTTCCCCTCTGGCTGTTTGCTGGAGTCTCTTCAGGTCTTACTCTTCCTATTTGTTCACATCCCAGTCAGCCCATACAAACACAGCCCCACTGTCACCTCTCACATGACCTCCCTGCGCTGACCATTTTGCTTCTGGTTCATGAAATTTAGAGTGGATGAAAATGTAAGAAGCAAAGGGGGGTTATTCATTTGCTGGTGAGAAAAAAAAACTTCCCTCGTGAAGGAGGATAAATGGTCTTAGCTTTTTTCCTTTAGTTGGTGCGAGCATGTGGGTGAACTGAATTGCCTTTTCTGGGTACTTGGATGGATTCTTCTCCAGGTTTGTTCAGTGGTACCATTCTCACTGCGCCTGAGCACTCTCCTGGGAGTCTTTGGACTCCTCTATTCCTGTCTCAGGGGAGCTATGTACATAAGGCAGCAGCAGCAACAACAAAATCACTTGGGAAGGGAAAAAAACAGTTAAACAGCCGCATTGCTGAGCTCCTGCATCCAGTCTGAGTCACTTTGCCTCTGTTTCCTCCTTTGGGAGACAGTCCCTACACGGGATGCTGAGAAGGTTAATTAGTTAATACACTAATTAACCGAGTGTGCTTTGAACAAAGGAATCGCTTTAGGCACTAGCTCTCATGAAGGTCTAAGTCTAATACTGGTTTTAACAAGGTTTGGCTTCCACTTCTTATCAGCTGGGATAGCTTGCCCTCAGCCAGAGAGAAAAGACAAACTTACATGCATTATTCATACTGTTGCCACAACATATCTGAAGCAGAAATGGACAGAGTCCATCCAAGCTCTTTCCTGCCTTCTTCTTCCACCAAGGATGAAGATGAAACTGGTTTTCTTCTCACAAACACAGCTCTGGGGCTCCAGGCCAAGGAAACAGAGAAATCCAAGCTAAGGCTTTGACAGCATTGCTAGTCAATGCCCAGCAGTCTGGTTGTGACCCGTATCCCACCTTGCTCTGGAGGACTGCACACACATAAGGCAGCTTCTCCTCTCTCTTCCAGAAGATGGATGAAAGTAGAGTACTCTGCCTGCTGAAGTGAGAAGCACTTCACTTTTCGCATCACTGGGACCCATCCCAGACTGGATTTGAAGCTGCAGCTGCAACAAATCCTGCAAGCCAAACTGGTTTAGACTTTGGCCAGTCCTGAGCTCATCCAAGGACACATGTCTAGGGAAGCACCTGAACAGTGAAGCCAAACCCCATAGTGGAGGCTGTAACCCGGTTCTGAAATGTTCCAACAAAGATGTAACCGCTGGGGCTGATGAAGGTTGCTTGCCTTACTCAGGCGTGATCACAGCAATACACCTAGACCCTGCACTTCATCAGGGTGCCAGAAGATACCCTTTAAGAGTGAGACTGTCCCCACAGGCTGGGTGGAAGAGAAATTGTGACAGTTTTGATTGCTCAGGGAGCTGAGGTTGAGTTTGATTTCTAAATGTGAAACTAAATTCTCCTTCCACATGAGTTCTGCAAGCTCAGAAACTGAGGGTTTAGCTGGGCTCCTCCCCAGATGGAAAAGAAAACTCAAGGCATTGTCACTGCTATTTCTTCTGTGTCACAGTTATACAATACACAGGCCTAATCTACAGAGCTGAAAATCATAACCAGGGAGACAAGAACCTCCAGTCTCTGCATCCCTCTCTCTGGTCTAGTCTGAGGTGTGTGCTGTATTAGACTCCTCAAGGCTGCATTTTCAGAGCTGCATTTTCAGAACTGAACTGCTGCTGAAAGCAGGCCCCCTAAAATAAGCAAGCTTAGTGAATGTTCCCACCTGCAGCGGGTGTGACGATGACACCAACAGGCAGACTTCCTCCACCCTTTTGGCTGAGCCCGTCTGGAACTGTGGACATGTTTTCTGCAGGAAGAGCTCTTCACAAAACTCCTTTTCCAACACAGAACCTATACGGATTCCTGATTGCAGCCAAGTTTGACCACAGACACCATCATACAGATCCATCTCTCTTCCCTCTTTGTGGATGCAGAAATGCCTTGCAGAAACAGTACCGACATGTCATTGCTAATTAACGGTGTGTTGGCTTTGACCCATCCTCAACTGCCATTTCCTAAAACCTGGATTTTTCTGCTTGTTTATCTTCCCTGGCCTTGTTTGC